TTTAGCATCGCAGCATCAAACTTTAGAATTTTAACATAAGAGGTAAAAATACCATGCCAAAATCACATCCAAACGGAACTAAATTATATTCATAATAATAAAATCAGCTATCATCTCATAATGGTACCTAGAGGTATGCCTTTAATAATTACATCTACATATTATCATATTTTGGAAGCAGGAGTGGTATCCGCTTCTTAAACAACATACCTCTGGAAACTATGAATTTTGATAAATGATAATAGTTACAGAAAGGCTTCAGACCTTTGGTTCATAGGGTTGTTATGAGTCATACTTGACAATGGTAAGCAACAACAACAATATTGCTATACTATGTATACTGATACATTCTCATGAAACAGAGGAGAAATCTGAGTGAAGTTTTAGTAAATAGTCCAAATCATAATAGCAAAAAGTTGCAAGTTTTCTGCTTTCCCAACTTCTTTGATTCACAATCATTGTCTAAGCTAAAATGCAAAATAATTCAACTTTATCACTCAGACTCAAATCTTGTCTATTGCCTCATTTAGAACATCTCGGCAGTACATAACAGTACTTTAGCAAATCACCAAATCCATTTGTATTTCATAATTAAATATAACTTATATAAAAAAAATTATCTGATGATCTGGCATGGTACTTTATACTGGCTCACTTCCAAATTTTTCCCTGATAGAACTTTTACAGTTCAAGTGAAATTAACTTCAGTTCAGCTTAAATTCTCCTAATCAAAATTTTATTATTCAAGTTATCAGTTTTATACTGATGCAGAAATTCAGATTAGAATGTGCCGTTTACACGATTTCATGATAACAATTCTGCCTGAGATGGCTGATTAGTGTTTGAATTTTTCCATCAGGAATTTACACTTTCCCTGATCGAAATTTTACAATTCAAGTAAAATTAACTTCCATTCAGCTTACATCCTCTCTGACCAAAAATTATATTGATGCAGAAAGCTGGATGAATTTCACTTTCTTTGAGAAGAGAGGAAATGCTTTCGAATTTGACCCAAGGCTTTCTATACTATTTCTAACTAGGCTGGTCCTAGAAAGAGGCCCTGGTGAAGCAGTGACTGAAGCAGAGGCTGCCTTGCAAATTTACTAGTCACTCTTGACAGAAGGAGAATTGATGCCTTTGAGCTGTGGTGCTGGAGAAGAGTACTGAGAATACCATGGACTGCTAGGAAAACAAACAGATTTGTCCTGGA